TCTATGATGCCTGGATTTGGGGCACTAGAGGGAATGGACAGCATTGTGTCTGCAGCAGAAAGTAAGCTCCCTGAGGGCAGAGACTATTTTCATTTCTGTCTTTTTTCCCATAGGTTCATAGATTTAGGGCTGGAAGGGATCTTTTAGCTTATCTAGTCCAATCCCCTCATTTTACAGATAAGAGAGCCGAGGCCCAGAGAAGTTGACTTACCCAAGGCCTCACAGGCAGAATTAATATTTGAACCTATCCAACCTCCAAACCCACTGCTTCTTCCATGATATCTTATCATTTTTTGGATTACCAAATTTAATCAGTGTTCAGTATCTCTAGTCTTTTTTATTGTTTTGCAATAATCCACTCTTTCTTGAAAGATAGTAAGGTGGCTGTCCCCTATGCCTAGAATTCTCTCACTCTTCATCGCTGCCTCCTTCTCTAACTTCTTTCAAGTCTCAGCAAAAATCTCACTTGCTACGAGAAGCCTGTCCCAGTCCCCCTTAATATTAATGCCTTCCTTCTGAGATTACCTCCAATTTTATCAAATATATATTCTATTTGTACATGCATATCATTATCATTTCCCCACTGGACTGTGGGCTTCATGAAGACAGATAAATAGCATCTGCTTTTGTTTGTATTCCTAGTACTTAACATGGTGTACAGCACCATAGTAGGTGCTTAATAAAGCCTTGTTGACAAATTGACTGACTTTCCAGAGCCTTGAACAGTGCAAGCTGGGCCCAAAAGAGATCTTAGGATCGTCGATTAAGATGGAAAGGACCCCAGATATCTTCAGTTTCAACTCCCTCATTTTTCAGATGATGAAACTGAGGCACAGAAAGGTATAGTTATTTGTCCAAAAATCTTACGGAAAATAAGTACCAAAACGCAGATCCCCTGATCTCAGATCTGGCCCTCCCTCAGTCACATCATGCTGCTTAATTAATGTGTTTTGCATTGGATTCAATTATGTCGCCGTTTTGCCTCTTTCAGAGAAATTAAAAAGTGATGCTTACAGAGGTTGGGAAACTTACCCATTGACCCATTGATATCTGAGCTAGGATTTGTACCAAGATCTGCAGGGTAAAAGTCTAAGACTCATTCTCCTAACCCACACTGTCTCCTGAGTGAGTCTCCTGCTTGTTTTTCTGGGTAAAAGTTATGTGTTTGGGAGGTGGGGGGAAAGAGGACAGGTACGGGGTGTTTGCTTATTTTGAAATGTGACAGCCCCTTCTTGCTACTTGGCTCAGTGGATGGAGCACTGGGCTTGAAGTCAGGAAGACCTGAGTTAAAATCCAGCTTCAGACATTTACTAAGTGTATGACCCTGGACAAGTCACTTAACCGCTGCTTGCCTCAGTTTCCTTACCTGTAAAATGGGGATAATAATAGCACTCACTTCCCAGGGTTGTTGTAAGGACTAAATGAGATACTAATTGTAAAGTACAAAGCACATAGTAAGTGCTATTATTATTTATTATAGTTATTGTCATTGTTTAGGAAAACATAGGATTCTAGGAGGGCTGGCTTCTATTTGTGCCAAGAGTGTCTAGATAAGCAAGCTGAGGCTTTAGGTTTAAGACCTTGAACAATTCATTTAACCCCTGTGGGCTTCAGTTTTCTTATCTATTAAAGAGATGGGATTGGACTCTATTCATATTGGGCATATATTGGATATAATTCAACAAACTTGGTTAGGCATCTGTGATATACCAGGTCCTGCACTCAGTGCTGGAGAGGCAAAGATTTTTGAAATGGTAACTTCCTGCCCTCAAGGAGTTTACCTTCTTCTGGTGGTGGTGAGGGGGATACATATATGTGAGTAAGAATGAGATGGTACAGGGCAGCTAGGTTGCGCAGTGGGTAGAGCACCGGCCTTGGAGTCAGGAAGACCTGAGTTCAAATCCAGCCTCAGAAACATAACACTTACTAGCTGTGTGACCCTGGGCAAGTCACTTAACCCCACTGCCTAGCAAAAAAACAAAAAAACAAAAATAAAACAAAAAAAAGAATGTGATGGTAGACTGAGGTCAGCGCAAATAGCGCTCAGAACCAGGGGAGTGATGGTCCCACTGCCCTTTGGTCTTCCTGACCACATCTGGTATAGTGAGTTCTGGGTCCCATATTTCAGAAAGGACATTGATAATTTGGAGGGCATCTAGCAAAGAATAAACCTAGATGGTCAAGGGATTCAAAATCACGACAAATTACAATCAAATGAAGGAATTTATGTTTTGAGGATCAAATAAGATAATACATGAATAGCGCTTTACAAACCTTAAGATGCTATATAGAATCTAGGTATTTTTATTATTTCTTGTTGTTCAGTTATTTCAGTCATGTCATCATGACCCCATTTAAGGATTTTCTTGGCAAAGATACTGGAGTGGTTTGCCATTTCTTTCTCCAGCTCATTTTACAGATGAGGAAACTGAGGCAAACAGGGTAAAGTGACTTGGCCAGGATCATCCAGCTAGTAAGTGTCTAAGGCAGGATTTGAACTCAGGAAGATGAGTCTTCCTGACTCCAGTCTTGGCAAGATGGGACTAGGGTGGACAGAGGGAGCCACTGAAGTTTATTGAGTAGGGTGGACATGATCAGAGCAGTGATTTAGCAAATTTGCTTTGGCAGCTTATTGGAGTGGTGAAAGATTTGAGGCAGGAAGATCTACCAAAAGCCTATTACAATAGTGCGGGCACGAGATAATGAGGGCCTATACCAGGTTATGTGAGTAGATAAAAGGGAGGGCTCATACAAGAGATACCATAGAGATAGAAATAACAACATTTGGCAATGGATTGGACATGTGGTACGGGGAAGGAAACACTGATTCCAGAGTCCAACACCTGGGTAAAAGCTTGCCTCTGATGCTTACTGTCTGTGTGCCCTTGAGCAAATCACTTTTCTCTGGGCCTCAGTTTCCCCCTCCGTAAAAGCTAAATGATGATACTTCTCCTTCCTCCTTCATGGTGTGAGAAAAGGGCTACATCAGTGTGAGTTGCTGCTCCAATGAATTTTATCTCACATAGTAGAGTGGGGAGCCCTGTCAAAAGACCAGGTATGGAATCCCAACTAGCTATATGAACTTGGGCTAATCACCAAACCTTTGTCAACCTCAGTCTCTAAAATGGGAATAACCATCCTTATTCTACCTAGCTCAGAGGCAAGACCTTAAAGTGCTGAAGATACATGTATATTAACAGTAGAACCCCAACAAAAAGTCCGTTCATTTCCATGTTTTCATTCATAATGCCTGTCTATCCATTCTCAACATCTGTCTTCTTGCAAGACCCAACTTAAGCTCTACCTTCTGCAGGCGGCCTCCCCTAATGTCCCAAGCTGCCAGTACCTCTCTCTTTAAGATTGCCATCTGTCCACTCTGTATCTTGGATTTATCTATTTACGCTCAGACTGTCTTCTCCATTAAGCTCCTTGAGGACCGGGACTGATTTTATTTTAGCTTCTTCTTAGCACACTGCCTGGAACAGAGTAGGCTTCTAATAAACGTTGATTCATCTAAAGTTTGCGTGAAGTGAACTACATAGAAGAAGTATTTCTTCTATCTTGACCACTCTGATTTCCATTTGGTGGAGAGAGAAACCTGAATAAATGTTCTTAGCAGGATAAGCTAGTCGGCATGTCTAATGCTGGGTTTGTATTATGGAATTCAATTCAATTCAACAAGCATTTAGTGGTCACCTAGCTGGGATGGTTGATCTATCACTTGACTTGGAAACAGGAAGACCTGATTTCAAATTCTGTTTTAGACACTAATTAGCTCCATGACCCTGATTAAGTTATTTCATCTCTCTCAGCCTCAGTTCCCTCATCTGTAAAATGGGGATAATAACAGTATCTACCTCACAGGGTTGTTGCAAGGCTCAGATGAGATAACATATATAAAGTGCTTTGCAAATCTTAAATTTTTCCATAAATGCTGCTTAACTAAGTACCCACTTTGTGCTAGGCACCATTCTAGTCCAACACATAGGGTCAAGTTTGTGGGTCAGTGATGGTGGAATCATCCCATAGAGCCCACAAACCCATCAAAGCAAACAAACACACAAACCGGGAATGATTTTTGATGGGTAAAGTGCCCTCCCCAGCAAGAAGCAGCTGTTTCCCTGGCAGCTTCCGCCTCTGTGCCATAGCTAAAATGCTGCAAACAAAGGCATTTATCTATCCAGGGCAGCTCCAGGGACAGACAATAAGTATTTGTTTATCTGCCTTTGGCAAACACAAAGCAATTATGATGCCTCGAATCTCCATACACTTGTCCCTCTGTTGGGAACCACGCCATGCAAAATTGTTATTTAAAATAAAGACTGGGAGAGGAATTCTCCCAACAGAGAAGATGCCCTCCTAGAAGCCAAGGGCTTCCTGAAAGATGGGGACCCTTGAGAAGTAAAGGAGGGATTATTTGTGCATATAATCTGATCCACGGCTATTGTCTGGTTGTCTCATATATAGGAGTCTTATCTCCCCCCAAGCAAACTGTAAACTCCCTGAGGACAGGGAATTTATGGTGCTCCTCTGATCTAAATCCTTCATCACCTATCAGCCGGACCAGGAAACTGAACAATTAGCGCAATCCCAAAAGTAGAATGAGCTGCCTTGTGAGGTAGTGTGTGACCCTTCACTGGAGGTCTCTGAGCAAAGATCCAGTGGTCACTGGTAGGGAATGTCATAGAACAGATTTTTGCTAAGTCTATTGGACTAGATGGTGTCTGAGGTTCCTTTTTTGCTTTGTGATTCTGTAACTTTTATAATTTCCACTTTCCAAACCTTTAAACTAGCTATTGCCATCTTTTCCCACTATTTCCCAAATGTCTTTTATTCCCTTCTCGACTTCCCTAGATACTTTGTTTTTCTGAAGCTAAGTGTGTGATCCTGGGTCATATATAGAAGGACATTCCCTCTCAATCTTATAACAATGGAAATGGTGACAGCCACCCTCCAAATTCAAGTAGTTACTCAATGAAGGGGTCTCTTGATTTTTGTAGGTCCTCCAGCTCCACCTCAAGATGTCACCATTCAAGCCGGGACCACTCCAGCAACCATACAGGTCTCCTGGAAACCACCAACTCTCACACCCACTGGGATGTCCAATGGAGCCAATGTATCTGGCTATGGTGTTTATGCAAAAGGGCAGAGGGTGAGTTTCATACATACACATACATGCCCAAGTACTTTGCTTTCCTGAAGCTGAGTAGGAAGAGCACTGAATGTGGAGTCCAAGGACCTGGGTCTGAGTCCCAGTTCCATCATTTATTAGCTGTGAGATTTGGGGCGAGTCATCTAATCTTTCTGGGAGTCGCTTTCTTCAACTGTAAAGACAGGGAGTTGGATTAGATGAGCTTTAATTCCAATTCTCAGCATCACTGGATTTGACGCCTCCCAAAGGAAACCTACTCCTCCCAAGCACCATGGGGTTCTATTGTACAGGGCAGAGGCCATTGGCCAGATGGGCCTCCCCAAAACCAACTTTAGGAAAAAAACCTATGAAGCAAGTGGAACTCTCCCCACTTTCAGCATTCCTTCCCAATAAGGTCCTTGATGCCTTTAGCCTAATGTCCAACTGCCCTCTGATTTTCCATTCAGTATCTCACCTTAACCAGCTCTTCCCAGTGCATTTATCTGAATCCCTCCTATAATTCCCAACAAAAGTCCTAAGTACCATTCCTGGACAGCTTTAAGGTGTGACTCCAGCTAACCTCAGCTAAATTCAATGGAGAAAATACTCTCGAAGGTCTTTTCCAGCTCTAGAGAGGTTCATGGGACCACAGGTTGAGAGCTAGAATGGACTAGCGGTTACTTGGTCCAAACTTCTGATTCTACAAGTGAGGAAACTGAGATCCAGAAAGGTAGTGATTTTCCCAAGGTTGCCCTGGTAGCAAGCAGCAAAGCTGAAATTTCGGTCAACTACCTCCAGATCCAGAGACCTTTAAACTATAGCATGCTGCTGCTAATTATTAATTGGATAATTGGTAGTTGGAAAGAGTTATCATCGTTATTAATTTTCTAGTTAACAATTAATTGTCTTTAATCACTAAAGGAAATCATGGCTAGAGTATATCATGCCTCTGGAGAGTATCAACATTGAAGAGAAGACATTGCCTTAATCTAGAACAAGAGTCTGTTACCTTTCCTTGTGTCATGTTCCCCTGTGGCAGCCGGGGGAAGTGTGGGGACCCCTTTTCAGAATCATCTTTTTAAATAATTGAAGGAAACACTTAATTCTAGTAGTAGTAAAGATAAAGATGTCATTTTTTTCCATCCAAGTTCATGGACTCCCTGAAATCTGTCCACATACAGATCACAGATCCCAAGTTCAAAACCCCTGACTTAGAGGAATGAGCCTCTAAAACTGTTATTGTAACAGACCTTGGATTGCTCCCCACCTTACTCTTAAATGATAAAGACTACCATTAAGTCAACCAACCCCTAGTCCCTTCATTTCAGACGTGAAAAGATAACGGCCCCTCTCGCTGGGCCCATTAGCCCCAAATGCTTCTCATTAAACATGTTTTGTTCAAGCCATGTCTGTCTGGCACAGGATTTCCTGCCCAGTTTGAACTTGGCTTGGCCAACTCCACATTTTTTTCCAGTTAGATGGGCAGTTAGACCTGGCAGGAATTAGCATTTACTTACTACTCACAGTAGCCAGTTTTCCCTTCACTGACTATTGGAAAGAGAAACGACATGTATCTAATAGGTCACACCAGGAAGGGCATCTGTCAACCAGCCTGTAAGTTGGCTCTCTGCGTCCTCAGGTGGCTGAAGTCATCTTCCCGACAGCTGACAGCACAACAGTAGAGCTGATGCGCATCCGGAACCTGGAAGCCAAGGAGGTGACCGTGAGAACACTTTCCACCCAAGGTGAATCCATGGACTCCTTAATAGCTGCCATTCCACCCGAACTACTGGTGCCTCCAACCCCACACCCTCGAACTACTCCCAAACCTAAGCCATTAGCAAGTGCCGGAGCCCCAGATACCAAAGACGAACAGTTGGGTCCCCACATCAAAATGGATGAGTCTTGGGAGCAGACTCGCTCGGCTGCCCCCGCACACGGCCACATGCTGGAACCTCCAACATCCAACTTTCCGAGCTCAGCTCCTGGGAGGCGGTCACCCTCACCCAATCGGATTCTCCCACAGCCACAGGGCGCCCCTGTCCCCAATACTGTGGCCAAAGCCATGGCCCGGGAAGCCGCGCAACGCATGGCGGAGAGTAATCGAGTAAGTAAGGATCCTTTTGTCCTTATTGGTTTGTTTTCCTTGAGGAAATGCTGAACCCAATATTACCAAACAATTTAATTCATTTCAGTTCAATGAACATTTATGGCCTACTACATGCTAGGCTTTGGAGATACAAAATTAAAAGGAAACAGTGCCTGGCCTCAAGAAGCTCATCTTCTGTTGGAGGCATGCACCAAGTTCTCATATAATTATATACAGCCATGGGAGTGGGATGGGGCAGTAATTTCATTAGTATATTAAACTCCTAGTGTGGAAATTTTCTCTTCTGGGGGCAACTCCTCTACAACATAGAGTCATAGAGAGTTGCCTGAGTGCATTGAGAGGTTAAAGGACTTGTCCAGGATTTCACACCTAGCTTGTGTGCAATAATATGTGTGCAATTAATAAGACCCAGATCTTAGTAATAGTGAGGTTAGCAAAGGGCTTCACATATGTTATGTTTGGAATTCTCATGTGATCCTCACAATAACCCTGGGAGTTTCAGTCATTATTATGTCCATTTTACAGATAAGGAAACTGAGGCTGAGAGAGGTTAAAAAGTCTTTAACAGGATCATACAGTTAATAGGTATCCGAGGCTGGATTTGAACTCAGGGATTTCTGACCCCCCCCAAAAAAAAAAGATATTTTCTATGCTTTTGGTATAGAATTTCACAGAGTTCCTTCACTCTTTGCTAAATGTCCCCTGCCCCAGAAATATCTTTTCATCACTTTCCACCTGTTTTTGGCTAGGTACTTGCAGAGGTCACACGTGTGACATGGTCACAGCTCCTACATGCCATGGGAGCTGCTCTGATTAGGATCATGGATTTTAGTTTTGAAAAGGTGATAACAGAGGAAGGAAATGTTCAGAGAAAAGGATAGCCCAGGAGATCAGAACTCCTGTCACCAGGCTCCTTGGTATTTTGGCTGTTCTTCTCATCTTAATCATTTGTTCTTTTCTAACAAAAGAAGCTGGAATAAGCTTATGCAACGTGGCCCTGCCCTTACAAAGTTCGTGACTTGTTTTGGACAACAGGACTTATAAACACAAGAAAAGTGTAATTAACGATGGAAGTGTGTCATGATAGACAGCACTGACCTGCAGGGGGGACCTGCTCTGCAGGACGCCTGTTTCCTCATCTGTAAAATGGGGATTATAACCCTCGATCTCCTCTCCTACTTTCCTTCCCACTATTCTCCTTTCATTCCTTCTTCCTCCCTTCCTCCAGCACTTGGCATATCTCCTGTCACATAATAGGTGCTTAATAAATGTTTATTTCCTCTCCTTCCCTTCCCCTCCTTGTTTCTCTTTCTTTTCCTTCCCCCTCATTGCCTTCCACTTCTTCCTTTATTCCCCTCCCTTCTTTCCTCCTTCCTATTCTTCCTTCTCCTTTCTTCACTTGGTCATTGTGAGGCTCAAAATAGGTAAAGTATGCAAAATGCTTTGTAAATGTTAAAGTATTATTATTATTATTATTATTGATTATTAAAGAATCAGCTTGATGGCATAGATAGCTGGCCTCAGTCAAGACCTGGGTTCAATCCCTACCTCCGCTACATGTGCATGTGGCTGCATGAGTGAGCAAGTGGCTTCACTTCCAAGTGCCCCAGGCAAATTTTCTAAGACTCTTAAATTGAAGAGGAGATACCTACCTGTACCGGAAGAGAAGATTTCCTCACTATTCAAAATTTCCTCACTATTCAAAATTTCCTCACCAATATTAATGAAATAGCAGGTCCAAAAAAATGGCTATGCTGAGAACATTCATCAATCACCGAAGTGAAACTACATAGGACCATAGATTTAGAGCTGGAAGGATTATCTTAACCTTTCATTAGAGCTTCAGGGAGTGTCACTAGGGGCCTTCTGGTAATGAAGGTGCTTTAAAGGACAGCGGTAGAGGCCACCAAGGCCACCAAGCTCTAGCCCTTCTGCCACCATATTGCCAGGCAATACACACAGTTTCATTGTTATTCAGTCATGTCTGGTTCTTTGCAACCCCATTTGGAGTTTTCTTGGCAAAGCTACCAGAATGGTTTGCCATTTCCTTTTCCAGTTCATTTTACAGATGAGGAAACTGAGACAAATAGGGTGAAGTGACTTGCCCAGGGTCACCCAGCTAGTAAGTATCTGAGGCCAGATTTCAATTCACAAAGAGGAGTCTTCCTGACTCCAGGCCCAGCACTCTATCCACTGTGCCACCTAAATCAGATCTTAGCTCCTTGGGGCTCAGGAAAAGAAAGGGGTTGGACTCAAGTTCTGAAGACCCTTTCTACTCTGACAGTCTAAGGCTTTGTGATTCTGTGAACATCACCTTGTATCTAAAAGAGCATTGGGTGATAAAGGATAATTCCAGATCACCAGTCCTAAGATGCTTCAGGCCTGAAAATAGAGGCCTGCTCAAAGAAGGGACCTTCTCATTCTTCTCCGAGAGGAGCTGGATCAGCAGGACTGAATTCCCACATAAAGCAGTAGCAGCCTCCTCCACAGGGAGCAAGGAGGCTCTGGGGCTTCCTTTATGGGTCTAGTTTCAAAGTGATTGCCTCTCCAATGCTCGTCAGCATCCACCTGGGGCTCTGCTGGAGCCTAAGCAGGCTGCGCTGCAACAGACGTGCTCCCTGCTGGGAAAGAACTTGACCCTTTGCTCTCTGCCGCCCAGTCTGTGCTGGAACCATCTGTTCTGTCTGCATTGGAAGTGTCCTTACTGACTCCTACCCTGAATCTCAACAAATATCAAAGCAGGAGGGCCTGATACCTGCCTTCCCCTCCTACCTTTCCTTCCTTCTTTATTCCTCTCTTCTTTTCTTTCCGTTTCTTTCCCACACTTCTCCCTTTCCTTTCTCCTTTTCATGCTTACCTTTATTATTTTCCTTCCTTCATTTGGCCCACAATTACCTTCCAGGGCTTCCTTCTACTCTTCCTTTCACCTCCCTCTTTTCTTCCCCTCTCTCCTTTCCTTTGTCCTGTCTTTCCTTCCTTCCTTCCTTCCTTCCTTCCTTCCTTCCTTCCTTCCTTCCTTCCCTTCCTCCTCTCTTCTCTCCCTCTCTTTCTGCCTTCTTTCTTTCTACCTTCCTCCCTTATTTCTCACATTTCCCTGCTCCCTTTTCTCCCTTCTTTCCTTTCTTCTTTCATTCCTTTCTCTATCTCCTTCCTTCTCTCCCTTCCCTGCTTCCTCTCTTCTTCTCCATCTCTATTTCTCTCTCTCCCTTCCTTTCTTCTTTCTCACCCTTTCCTCCCTCCCTCTCTTTTACCCCTCCCTTCTCTCTTCTTCCACCCTATTGAATTCAAGGCTCAGCCACTGTATGAAGTGATCCCTATAAGATTTGAACAGAATACACAGAAGGATCCTTCTTAATCATTCTTGGATGAGCAAAGTGTAGTCTAATGCTAGTACCTTCATCCAGAAATGTACAGTTTCCTCTGGAGAAATCTAACATGCAAGATACAATTTCCTCTGGGATATGGAGGGTGTCCCCAAAGTCTTAGTGCAGTCTTAAGCTGTAATAACTTAAGATCCCACTAAGAGTCAGGATTTGTCTATGGCTGGTTGTTGTCCTTCCTATCAGAGAAGGACCAAAATGACATCGCTACATCAGGGTCAATATACAGCATGTCTGACCCGTGGCTGATCAGACAAACATGAGCTCAGAAGGCTCTACCATAGGCTGGATGCAAATAGTCCAGAACCATAAAAACAGTGGACAATAAATATTTTTTAAAATCTTGTTTTAACCTTTGAAGCCATGGTAACAAATTTCCCTCAGGTACTATAAGAACAAATAAAAATTTGATGAATGAATAAATAATTTTAAAAAGACACATTTCTATAGCCCTTTAAGGGGCTCTCTGAGGTAGGTAGTGCAAGCATTATTAATAACATTCTATAGATGAAGAAAACACTCATTAGACCATTGATTTAAAGTTAGAAGAGACTCCCTTCTTTATACATGAGGACACTGAGGGCTATAGAGATTAAGTGATTTACCCAAAGTTACACAGGTACTATGTAAAGACGCAGGATTTGAAGCCATAAACTCTGATTTCAGAGCCATTGTTTTTTCCCTCCCACTGCTCCCAGCTCCCTATGGTAAGCCAGCTTGAAAGTGGCAAATATAAGGTGCTAACCAGGTTCTCTAAGACCAATGCCTTTCAATGAATGACTCAGAGACAAAAAGTAGTCTCAACAAAACTATGTAAATCTGTAGGATTTTGCTGAGATTCTCATCCTTCAGAAAGTTTCTTTCCCAAAGGTATAAATATAAGCCACCTTTATAAAAAGCAATGTTAACAGATAGGACTAATGCCATGCCTATGATCTACATGGAAGCAAGTCTCTTTATAGAGCTGTAATATTTCTGGGAACCTGTGACCCCTTAGAATATCCAAATCCCAGGTCCCTTAGTGAGGAATTTTGTCTTAACAAGGGTCTCCCCTATTCTTTCCCTCTCTTTCACTATTTTATTCAGTCATAGAATGTCAGAGTTAGAAGGGACCTTACTCAGGGCCATCTATTCCAACCATACCTAATTAAGAATATCCTCTACAATATGATGATGATAACAATGATGATGATGATGATGATGCTAAGGCTGCTGCTGATGGGTAGGATACAGGCATATCACCTACTATGTGCCAGGAACTGTGCTAAGTTTATAAATTTTACTTTATAAATCTTATAAATATTCTCTCATTTTGATCCTCACAACAGCTCTGCATGGTAAGTGCTATTATTATGCCTATGTTACAGTTGAGGAAGCTGATGTTAAGTGACTTATCTAGGATCACACAGCTAGCGAGTGTCTGGGGCTGGATTTGAACTCGGGACTTTATGACTCCAAACCTAGTGATCTACCCACCGCTCCACCTAGTGGTCAAAAAACCACAAACAAACAAAGAAACAAACACCCCTGATCATCCAGCCTCTGCTTGAGACCTCCAGTAAGGGAAATCTACTACCTACAGCCCATTTCACTTTTGGACAGCTTTAATGGTTAAGAAATTTTCCTGATATCTGCCCTAAATTTGCATTGTGTTACCTTGCACGCATTTTCCCCTGGTTCTGCCCTCTGGAGCTAAGCAAAGCAAGGCTAATCCCCCTTCTTTAGGATAGCTTTTCAAATAGATGAAGACACTGTCATGTTCCCCTTGAATCTTTTCTATTCTGGGCAAAGTGTCCCCAAATAACTGGTCCCCACCTCACTATCCCTGTATTCTACTTAATGGAGAAGCTCTTCTGAATGTCTAGGATCTCAGAAACCCAAATCCAGGAGGATAAACCACCCTTATAAAGCCAATATTAGTAGACACAGCAGTCAAGATCAGAAAAACTAGTTACATTTCTTCTCCAAAGCATCTACCCAAAAAGACAGAAGAGCTAAGAAAAAATCTTCAAAATTGAGCAGTTAGTGCCACCCAGTGGACTAGATTAGGATGGCAACTATGGCCACGCACAGTAGAGCTCAGATTCTCTGTTGGAGCAGTCTCCTATAATCTCAGGGCAGGAAGGAAGTTCTACAACGTCCCTGGCAGGGTTATCCAGCCTCCACTTGACTTCCAGACGTGTCATGGTAGCCCAATCCAATTTTGGACAGTTTTCTGACATCAAGCCTAAATCAACTTCTTTGCAGCCTCTACCCACTGGTTCTGCACTCTGGTGCCAAGGCAGACACATTTAAGTCTCTTTTCCTTCAGATAGGCAGGTCTCATCATTCACCAACCCCAACTGGACATATTCAAGACAATGTCCTTAAGACATGACAACCACAAGTGAACCCAAGACTCCAACTCCTGAGCCTCTCTGCAATGGCTTTGCCAGGGATGGCCTGACCCCCTCTGAAATCCATTTGCTAACTGTTATTCTTCCCTACTAGTATGTTTTTTAAAGGCTAGGAACTGGATGAAGTATGACTAGGCAGAAGCTTCTCTGAAAAAACATGAGAATTTTAGAGGACTCCAAGTTCCATATAACACACCAACGTAATATGGCCAAGAAGAAAGCTAATGTGATTTTAACCTGAATTAAGATCAATAATCAATAAACATTTATTAAGCACCTACTGTGTGCCAGGCATTGTGTTAAGAGAAGAAGAGTGTCTAGGACTAATGATTTTTCTCAAAATCACACAGGTCTTACTTAAGCATGAGACATGGACTTTCATAGTTAGAGTAAGGAAGAATTGAGTTTAAATCCTGCCTCACACATATGCTAGCTGTATGACCCTGGATTAGTCATTATTATCATCTGTATGTCCTGAAGTAGGGATGGAGCTGCTCAGAAGCAAAGAAGAACATGTACTTTGAGAACCCTTTGGCCACTTTAAAGTAACTCAATGTCAGCAAAGTCATGGCCTCATCAATCTAGAGTGGGAAGGGTCCTCAGTGGTCACCCATACCAATCCTTCCATTTCTAGATGAGCAAATAGGCCCAGAAAGGTCTTTAGGATCATAGATCTGGACCTAGAAAGGATCTCAGAGATCATCTATTCCAACCTTTCCTTTCTAAATGAACAAAGATGCCCCTAGAGTTCCATAGGATCATATACTTGCAGCTAAAAGGGACTTCCAAGGTCATCTAGTCCAAGCTCTGTGTTTTATAATTGAGAAAACAGAGGCACACAGATTTAGTGGCTTGCCCAGGATCACCCAGTCAGGGGATATCTGAGGCTGGTTTTGAACTCAGGTTTTCCTGACTCCAAGTCTAGCACCTGTCCCGCTTCACCATTCTCAAAGGTGAAGGCAGGAAGACCTCAGTTCTAATCTTGCCACAATACTCACTAGCTGCGTGGTCATGGGAAGTCGTTTAACCCTTCCACACCTGTTTCCTTATCTATAAAATGGGGGATATAGTCATAGCATATCCCTCACCTGGTTGGTGTGAGACTCCAGGTGAGATCATGTAGTTCACACAATTTGCAAATGGTAAAATGACATATAAAGGTCTGTTATTCTTCTCACTAACACCAACTCCTCATCTTTTTTTTTAGTTCCTGCCACAGATAAGTAGCCTCGCCTTACTTGCTTCTTCTCTTTTTCCCTCCCAGTTGGAGAAAAGGAGCCTGTTTGAGGACAGGAGCAGGGCTGGGCATTATGTAAACTCCGACGAGGAGGAAGAGGATGGCTATGACTCACCAGACATCAAAAGGAGAGGAGCTTCTGTGGATGATTTCCTGAAGGGTTCTGAGCTTGGCAAGCAGGTAATTGGTAGCCCATGTAGCTGGCAGTGGCCAGTTCTTCATGATTCCCATGTGGTGACAGTGACCTAGCCACCGCCTGGGAAGTTGAATTTTACTATTTATCTCCAAGGTGTCATTTTAGCCAAAGAATTCAACTCTCCCCACTGAAACCTCTGATAGGACGTGCTTAATAATACTTATTGAACTCACCTGCAAAGGTAGAGAATATGGACCCTGACCTCTCTCCTGTGGATAGGTCCTTTTCTTATTTATTATTTGGAATTGTCCATTCATTAACCTGAAGCAGGGGTTCTTAACCCTTTTTATGTCATGTACTCTTTAATAAAGCCTGTGGATCCCTTCTCAGAGTAAAGTTTTTAAATATATAAAATAAAATAACTAGACAGCCAGTCAATAAATGTTTATTTAGCACCCACTATGGACTAGGCACTGTGCTAAGTCCTGGGGATACTAAGAAAGGCAAAAGACAGTCCCTGATCTCAAGGAGCTCACATTTTAGTGGATTACAAATTGAATGGGTTACATAGTACTACAAAAGGATAGCCACATCTGGAGAGTCAGGAAGACTCCTCTTCCTGAGTTCAAACCCAGTCTCAGAAAAATTAAACAAACAAACAAACAAACTTCAGTGTGGTGCGGTGAAGCCAGGGATAAATGGCTGGATCTGGAGTTGAGGGGTCTGGGTTTGAATCCTGACTTTGACCCTTGTAACTCTATGCACTCCTCTCTTCTTTCTTCCTCTATAAAATGGAGGTGGGGAGACTAGATCATAGGACCCTAGATCCAGAACTGGGAGGGACCTCAGAGGTCATCTAATCCAAACCTCTCACTTTATAGATGAGGAAACTGAGGCCCAGAGAGACTGTGACTTTCCCTCAGTCCCACAGGTTGTAAGCATCAAATGCAAGATTTGAACCCAGGTCCTTTGATTCCAGTGCCTGTGCTCCCCTCATTGATGATCTCTAAGTGATTATTCAGCTCTAAATCCTAAAAGATTTAAGTTTTTAGAGAAACCCCAGCACCCTGTGTGAAGAGAGCGGTGCCATGTCAGTAAATATCCTATTCTCTTAACTCTGCTCCTGCAGTCACACTATGGCCATGGAGAGGAATATCACACAGAGAGCAGCCGGGGCTCTGACCTGTCCGACATCATGGAAGAGGATGAGGAGGAACTTTATTCAGAAATGCAGCTGGAGGATGGGGGCAGGAGGCGGTCCAGTGGAACCCCGCACAATACGCTCAAGGTCAGTGGCCAGGAGCAGTTCTAACTGAGGCTGGGTCTCTCTCTCACTGGGCCATCTCTCCTTCTCTTTCTGTCCCTTTGGTCAGCTCAGGCACCCCAGTTCTAGATGGTCCCACAAACTGCACATGTAAAATGCTCAATCTTGAGCCAGCTTCTTTCTATTGACCTAGCACGAGGATATCTCTTTCTCACTTCATCAATCATGGCCCTTTGGGCCATGGGAGTGGCAGGGGGAAAGCCAATGCAATTCAACTCAGCAGGTATTTCTCAGTCACCTTCTGTGCGCCCAGCTAGAGTTGCAGTGAGGTGTAACACAACTCTGTGAGTTATCTTTGTAGTTGGAGAAATAAGGTGGAGAGATTTAGTTATACCATTCTTCTGGTCAAAAATTTTCCATGGCTCCCTATTGCCTATCAAGGATGGTTCAAACTTCTTTCCTTGGAATTCAAGGCTTTCTACAACCTGTTACTACTACACCCTTCCGGCCTTATTTTGTATTCCTGACCTTCACATACTCTATATTCTATTCTCTGTCTGAGCACACACCATGTTTTCCCACCTTTGTGTACCCTCTTCTCTGACTGGAATGCCCTTCTACCCTCTCTTTGACTGCTGGATTCCTACCCATCCTAAAAGCTGAGTGCACATGCCACCTCCTCCTTGAAACCTTTCTTGATTTCACACACACATTCACACACACACACACACACACACACACACACACACACACACACACACATACATACATTCCCTTGAGTAATAAGCTTTCCCCCTTGGTCCTCACAGAACATTTTGCTGTATACTTCATGAATGCACTTCAATGAATTCAGAGTGTACCAAGGATAGGGATGGAAATTGGATCTGTGATTTCAGCAGTATGAGGAACTCTCTGATGAAGAAACTCCTTCTATCAATGCCGATTGACACCTTTTCTGCAACTTAGAATCTTAGAGAGGATCTAGAGCACTGAAGGTAAAATGAGGAGTTGAAAATAAAAGCTCAGGATTGCACCGTCTAGTGTGTGTTGGAGGTGAGACTTGAACCTAAGTCTTCCTGACTCCAAGACTGGTTTTCCATCCATAGTAGGAGAGAAAAGACCAAATGAATAATGAAAGCCTCAGTTTGAGGAGGAACATTGTCCTTTGGGACAATTACCTTTGGATAAAGAGGAATCGGTGCCAGGAAACCATGTGTTGGAGGGAGGGGAGAATCAAGGTGTCAAGAGCTGGCCTAGGTGCTAGCTAAAAGCTAGGTCTGGCTTTGAAACTCAGCTAGTCATTTAATACTCTGAGGATCGCAGGTGACTCTCTAAGACCATCAGTTGCAGAGCAAGTTCTGATCAGCATTGACAGAGGGAATTCCCTCCCTATCCTAAGGAAAGTTCCCACACTTGTGAAATCATAGGTCCAAAAAAAATAATAATAATCTCACAAATGGGAGATGGCCCTTTGTCCCTCCCCTCACCCACATCAGAATAGATAGACATACGTTCTTCCCTCCTTCTTTGGAGCTGCCCTGCCCTTATTCCAACAGTTTAAGAGTGTGTCATCTCTGGGGGAGACTGTAGAGAATTATTGTCCAATATGTGGAAACCTCCCCCTTGCCCTCAGCAAAGCTCACTGAATTCCGAGCCATGCACTGGTCCGTGTGGTTTGGATGGAAATCACCAAACCCATCATCTCAATGTGGCTACCAAATCAGTGATGCCTTGCATAGACACAGACCTGACACAGGTTCTTCCTAAAAACCTTCCTCTCCCATGGACCATGCACTTGGACAGCCCCACCGCTCCTACTTCCATAGACTCCCATGCCTCCTGACCTTTCAAAGTAACAGTATCAAAGCCTATCCTCAGTGGGCTTCTTATCTCCTACTGGTGGTTCCTATTGCCCCAGATTCTCAGAACTAGAAGGGACCTTAGAGGTCAGCAAACTCACCTGCAATTAAACTCAGTGAGCATTTCTTGAGCACCTACGTACTGAGCATCAAGCACCAACGAAAATGGAATAGTCCTGCCCTCAAGGAGCTTATGTTCTACCAGGAATTTCCTCTGTAACCTCCATGGCAAAAGGTCTGCAGGAACAAAAATCCAATATCTTTCTATCTTGCTTTGATCTTCACTCATTTGGCCAGTGCTGACATGGCTCTCCATGACTAAATCCCATGAAAGTTAAAAGACAAAGCAATGGGAAATGAGAATTCTACAGTTGAAGGTAAGGGTAAGGGGGAATTACGAAATTGTTTTACATTAAGAATGGTTCTAAAAGAAAGAGAATGGTTCTAAAGTAATGAGCCCAGTGGCCAAAGTTCAAATCTCACTGGGACCTTTTGGGTTCCCCTTTACTAGAGGTCTTCAGGAGAGGTTTGAATGACAATGGGCCAAATTTGGAGTCAAGGGAATTGGATTAAAGTCCCAACTCTACTACTTATCAGTACTGTGTCCTTGGGCAAGTCACTTAACTTTCTCTGGGTCTCAGCATCTTCATTTGTAAGATGAGGTTGGGTAGATGACCTCTAAGGTGCCTTTCCAGCCCTAAATAATCAGTTGTACAGTTCAACAATTCAATTCAACAGCATTTGCCACACATTGACTATAGGACAGGCACTGTGCTAGGCACTGAGGACACAAAGACAAAGACCCAGAAGCCCCTGCCCTTAAGGAGCTTACATTCTACCATGGGGATGATGATATACTAGATTGAGTTCCTGTTTACACCTGGGCTGGTCTAGATGCACTCTAAAGTTCCTCCCAGATCTGATGTATGATGATTCCTCCATCCCCCAAAACCTTCTTGACTGACCCAAGCCATCTTCACTTCCATCCCTGGTGAGCACAGAAGCTCTTTCAATCAGAGCTTTTTGCAACCCAACAGTGCCCCTAGTTTTCCTCTGCTTTTGTGCAAATGGCACCTGATGATTTTTTCCCCACACTTTTCTTGATCCCCTTCTTGCCCAACTATTCCATGTGCATCTTGTATCCAACTGAACAATGCTACCTCCCCACCCAACAGGCCTCTCAATGGTGGTAAAATACATCAATCTCAAGGAAAGAAATGAATTACCGCCCTCCCTCCAGGGGGGAAGTACTGTGATGCCCGTATAAGAGAAAGCCAATGGAATCTTTACTTCTCCCTCTTCCTTTAAATCATCCTCAGGTCCCACAAACAAAGCTACCCATCCCCACTATACTGATATGTGCTCTCCAGTATATGGAGGTACTTTGCATGTTTAACAGACAAATTCATTCTCATTTACTATCTGAGAAACAGCTACATGGAAATGTTCCCTCCAGCTGCTCTTCTCCAAATGCACATCCCTTCTCACTAGCCGGTATGTATTCTGTTCCTGGGGGTGGCTGGTATCTAGGAGCAGGATTTGATTGAAGGCTTGATGTCAGATCGAAGCCCACAGGCGTCTTGGTTGGGTGAAGTTTTCAGCTCAGGGGTAAAAGAACTGCCGGTGTCATCTTGTCATCAGCAAGTAGGGGTCCCCCATTACAGTGTGGGGTACCATCCTAGGAATACTTCCCCTGTGGTACGTGCCTCTTGCCGATAAGAAATGTTACTACATGAAGCTTGTCCCAACCAAGACGACACATGGCCAGCAACCTAGGTAGGCTGAGATGCAAGCCCCCATGGAAAATACGGAAGACTCTGTCTTAGGCAGTGAGCTTGGAACCATCCTTAGCTCTGATCCCCATAGAACCTAGAACATCTCCCTCATCGAACCCCTCCCTTTAAGATACTCCTTTTGATTTTCTCTCCTCTCTTTTTTTCTCTTTTAACGGGCTGCTTTGGCGCCTTCCTCCGCAAGCATCAGTATGCCTGCTCTCTGTTTGTACTGTGATCTCCTGCCTTCTCTCCAACACTCTCAACATGTCTTTATTTTCAGAGAATCATCCAGAGCCTGCCATTCCCCCCTCACTGAGTAAGCCGCATGCCTTCCGTTTGTCATCATGTCTAAAACTAATTCTGTCTTTATTTTTCTTTCCTTTCCTTTTTTGGCCTCATTTTCTGTTTTCTTGTTCACTTTTTCTTCTGCACCTATTCTCCTGTTTTGTTCTTTTTTTGGTTTAACATTCCATACTACTCAAGGAGTGCTGTGATAATAGGACCACCACCGATGCAGCTTTTTGGGAACAGCCCGAATTTCCCCAACAGACCCGCCACAGTAAAAAACTCTTTAGTATCCCAGAAGTAGCCGAAGAGGACGGAGACTATTCTGAGATGCTGCACAGACAAGGTTTAGGGTTGTCCTATAAGGTGAAAGCCTCAGGGCCCAGAGGGCCTAGGTTCCCCAGGTGCTGCGTTGAAGATAAGGTCCAACAGGCCACGTGGTTCCCCACCAAGCACAGGCTCTCTGGGTTTGCCCACCACTCAGAGGAGTCTGCCCCTGAAGATAAGGGTTACAGGCTTAGCAGGGCCCTCACCTGGAGCCCAGACAGCGGGCTTGACTGTGGGAGTGAGGAAGAGGAGTCTCGGTTTAGCTTCCGAAATGTTCACGGTCATCCATTCCCTCACGCCGGCCCCCCCTGCTGCCCAGGCCGCAGCCACTGTTCATGCCAGAGAAGTCCCAGGCCCCTTCTGGCCCGTAGGAAAACACTGACCCGGCAGACCAGCATTGAGGAAGACTTTGGAGAGCAGTTTGCCCCCAGTGAGGTCATCAGGAAGAATGAGACCTCCCCTGGCCCCGAGAGATCTAGCCCCAGGAAGAGTCACTACAGTGATCCCATGAAGCCAGAAGACCCTTGCTGTGCCTGGAAGGTCCAGATGAGTGACAGCGGGGCGCCTGTCCTGCTTACAAAATCAGCTCCCAGAGATGGAGAAGGCTCTTTGGTGTGTGAAGTAAATCCTCCCTTCTACTATCTGCTTGCCAATCCAATCGGTTTTCTTTCTTTCTTCTTTTGATTTCCTGGTGCCCATCTTTGGGAACTTTCTCCACTGGCTCTCCTTTCATTCTTCATGCATTTTTTTTAAATTCCCTCAGCCTCATCATTTTGCAGGCTTCTTCCCATGCTCAAGACCTCCTTACTTTGCTTATAATGATGATTTTCCCACAGAACAAATCACAATAATGGCTGCTTTTATTAAAGGACAACTGAATCTAAATTTTAATTAAGGGTTAGCTGAACTAGAATTATCAGGAAGTTTGTACTTCCCCCTCCCCCCAATATACCCATCACCATTGTTATGACTGCTGCTGCCAACAAGATCATTGTGGATTAAAGTATTTGGCTTTTATTCTTTGACTTTAAAACAAAATTGAAGGGAAGAGTTCATAAATGAGACTATGTTTTGCTTCTAGACTGCCTTATCCTTCCTGCCATCCAGATTCAAGGATGAATTTTCTATCCCTTGCCAGCCTTGGTACTCAATACCTAAGGCAATTCTTTAACTGTTCCCTGAAGCTGAGTTACTAGCATTTAAAGAGTAGGTGTTCAATAATAATAGTAATAATAATAATAACAACAACAACAACAACAACAACAACAACAAACTGACATTTGTATTGTGCCTTAAAACTTGAAAAGCACATTACAGACATTATTTCCTTTGAGCCTCACAATAATTGTATGTTGTATAAATAGTCCGGATAGTATTACCTCCACATTACAGATAAGGAAACTGAAGCTCAGAGAGATTAAGTGATTTCATAGGATCAGATACCTAGAGTTGGAAGGACCCTTGGAAGTCATTGAACCCAGACCCTTCATTTTATACATAAGGAAAGGGAGGCACAGATAGGTTAAACAACATGACCAGAGTCACACAGTGGGTATCAGAGGTGGTATTTGAACCCAGATCTTCCTGAGAACAAATCCAGCATTCTATCCACTATACTGAGTTGGTTCCCATACATCTCTAATTTGCACCCTCTTTTCAGATCACCCCCTCCTATATCCTGTACTTTGAAATGGAAATGCAGGTGAAGCTTTGAACTGGTTAGCCTGAACCTTCACCCAATCTCATTCATCTATCCCATCCCACTCCACCCGCAAGGCTGAGTTGGTGCAATCCATTATGTTTCTGCAAGTGGGCACTAAATATGAAACCATCACCAAGCAAGGATTTCACCAGCAGTCCAGGAAGCCTCAAGGTTTTAACATTTACACCCAGGAGTCTTTGTCCACAGCTTGGGAAGTGTAGTATGGAATATATTCTCCCTTTGTTCATCATAAGCTCTTTTATTCAAATCAGTATCACAAAACATTACAAATCTTTTTTTTCTTTTTCCTCAGAGTAATTGCAGCTTTTCATCTAAATGAGCAGTAAACTGCCCCAAGAATTCCCCTTAGTTTCCCATAAGTCACTGAGGTTTGTTTTAGAGCAGTGCACAGAAAGAGCTAGGCTCGGGCAATCTGAACATACAAAAGAAATTCCAGTCCATAGGTTTTTATTACCCTCACACAGACAGCTATGCTCCAAGGAGTACATTTGGAAAATTCTGAATTTTTAAGACTATAGAATATGAGGTGTGGAAAGAACCCTAGAGATGAATGGATCATTGGATCATAGACCTACAAATAAAAGAGATTATAGAGGTCATAGTGTCCTACCTCCTCATTTTTAAAAAGAGGAAACTGAGGACCAGAGAAAGAGAGGGACTTGCTACAAGGTGAATAGCAGAGATAGGAGTGGAACCCAGGTCTTCTGCCTTCTATTTCAGGGCTCTTTTCATTACCCCACACTGCCTGAGTAGAAAGAGATGAGACCCATTGAAATATGTCCTCTGGCTACACACAGTAACAACTTATATGGCACCTTAGGTTTCAAACTCTAGAGAGAAGACCTCCATTGTCTTTAAAGGAATGATAAATTGTATTTTATTCTGCCAGAATATAAGCCTTTGCAACTTTTGTTCAAATTCTTTATGGACAGCAAGAGCAGACCCAAAACATGGCACCCAAGTGAATCATTTTGTGCGACACGTCCAAACGTGACTTGATTAGAGATTTGACCTTGGTCTGCTTCTCTTCCAGGTGCTTCAGCTAACCTTTCAGTTAAAAGCTAAGTTTAGTTGCCTTTAGAGCTTCTGCTCCCCAACTGAAATGATCTTTACAAATGTCACTGAGCCTAGTGATGGTGAAACTTGTGACTCTGTTGTGTTGTTTTGTCTTCAGCTTTTAGGAAATCCAGCGTCTGCCGGACGGACTGATAGGGTGGATCACCCGGGTCGAAGGTTATCACATGGCAGTGCTGGACCTCAGAGGCCCCGGCCAATGATGGTCCCTTCCATTGGTCAGTTGGCCTGATTGGTACATTTCTGTTCTTTACAAGTACAGAGTGAATTCTCAGTCCTTAATGTATTGCATATGTGTGTTTGTGTCTATATATTTGTGTGTATATATATATTTATTTATATGAAAATGTAGTATTAAAAGTTAAAATAGAGAAAACTCTCAATAATCCATGGTAGTATAAGATAGAAGAGCAATCCAATTTAATCTAAGAAGTATAATTTAATTTCCAACTGTGTGCCAAGCATAGTGCTGGGTACTGAAGATACAGAGACAAAAATAAAGTCTTTGTCCCCTAGAAGTTAACCTTCTGAGGGAATGCAACGTGAAAACCGATAAGTATAAGTATATACATAATAACTTGAGGGGAAAGAGGGCATTCATGCCCAGAGGAACCAGGAAAGGCTTCCTAAGGGAAGTGATCCTTTTGTACTAGCCTTTAATTCAATATCCAGTTTTTTTAAACAGAGCTAGTATTCAGCACCCATATGTGACCACTCTGAATTTCTCTTCTTCTCCTATCCATGACTCATTCTAGCATGTGCACTGCTTAGAAATTGACAGTAAGAGGAAAGAAAAGCAAGAGATGATGAAATCCACAAAATGGGATATCAGTCTTTGGATCACTGAGAGTTAATATGAAAATGGGGGGAGGGGGCAATTGATCAAGTGAACCTAGAAGAATGGTACAGTTGAGAACTACAAGCGAAGACTGGAGAAGACATGTTGAAATGCTGGTTGATAAAATTTAGAACCAAGATGAAGAGAATGACTTTCCAAGACATGGATACAGGAATCTGAAATTGGTGCTCCCCTCCATTCACCCACCTAGCCATCCTTCCATTCGTTTATCATCATCCAACTTTCAGTTTCCATTCTCTTAACTACTTTTTGGAATTCAGCAAGTTGAGCCAATGTTGGCCTTTCATTTGTTGCACGGGATCCATTGGATTTTAAAAAGAGCCTGTGGGCAAATGTCAGAGGACACATTGGAGCAGTTTCACTTTTCTGTTGTTGGAATGAATCAGGATCAGACAGAAGTTTGTTCTAGAAAAAAAAAAGGAAAGAAAAGAAAGGAAAAACAAAAGAAAGAAAAGAAAGAAATTCCAAAAAGTATCATGCACAAGATAATGGAACCCAATTACTGAGCGAAGTTTTTTTTTTTAAGCATGCACAAACACACACTTGTGCATGCACCTATACACATACACACACACACACACACACACACACACAAATACTTGCACAACCTCTTTCACATTCAAAGAAAACTGAAACCATAGCCAGCTTGCAAATAAACTTCAAAGTTAAAAATAAAGAAAAGAACCAAAAACAAATGCCCTGTTTCTCTAGCAGACCGTTCAGAGAAAGGACACCATTTGGGAATCTGATGTTGGGCTGCTAACAAGATGCTACCCTAAAGGCTAATGAGGCAATGAGTTCCCTTCCCAGGTTTTCCTGTCACCTGTGCAGTTATAGCAGAACTCCCTCTGTCACTCTAAGACAGCTTAGTATAACTGGGTTTGACTGCCTCATTCTAGTTTTCGAGATTTCTGGAATGGAATATTGGGAGGATTTTTCTTAAAAAGCATGGCAGTTTTTTAAGTGATGTGAAAAATCCCAGGCAGTCCCTGTCCTTTAAAACATCTTTAGCAATCGCAAGCATTGAAAATCAACTTTGAACAAACAGAAAGAACTTGGTGAGGTTCCTAACTTGTTCCATAATGGTTTATAAAATATTCATAATTTCAATAAGCTTCACTTGTCAAATCTACATTCATTCTGTATGGAAGCTCCTCAATGTAGGCTACAAATTTTGATTTGTTTTTGAGAGAGATTAGATTTAACGTCATTTCCTGAAGGTTTGCCTTCCTTCTATTAATGAAGAAGGCAGGAAATAAAACAAGAGAGAGTGGGCAAGAAAAAAGGAAGGCGATAAAGGGGGAAATGAAAGAAGAAAATAAGGAAACCAGGCAAGAAGTGAAAGAGAGGAAGAAAGGGAATAAAGGAAGGAGAGAGAAGCCAGAAAGAAGGAAGAACAGGAAAAAAGCAATAAAAGAAGGAGAGGGAAGGATGAAGGAAAGAGAGAACATGAGAAAGAGGGAAGACAAAAAGAAAAATGAAGGAAAAAAAGGAGCATGTCAGTTAGGAAGGAAAGAGGAAGAAAGGGAAAGAGGGATGAAGAGAGAGAAAGGAAGAAAGCTAGGCAGACAATCCATCAGGTGAGTTAAAGTATTCATTTAATCAACCGGTCAGCAAGCATTTATTAAGTGCCAGATATGTTCTAGGCACTGTGTACTGAGCATAGAAAGACAAAAATAACACAGTCTCTGGCCTCAAGGAGCTTATATTCTACTGAGAGAGAAAGTGCATACATCCATAAATATGGGCTATCTCAAAAGTCTTAAGCTATTAAAGATCAATACTCCATTAAGACTTTCAGAACACCCTATACATTTCAAGACATGTACAAAATATATATGAATTAATTTTGGCAAGAAGACACCAGCAACCAGGGGGATCTGGAAAGCCCTCATGCAGAAGGCAACACAAGCTGAGCTTGGAAGGAAACTGAGGATTCTACTTGGTGGAAATGAATGAGAGTGGGGCACAGCCTCTGTGAATGGGGCACAGCCAGTGCAAAGGCTCGGAGATGGGCAATGGAGTACAATGTGTGAAGAACAGCATGAAGGGAAATTTGTCTAGACAACTTATTGCACAAAGGGAAGTAATAATAAGGCTGGGGAAGGTAGGATGAGGCCAACTTTTGAAGGGTGTTAAATGCCCAACAGAGGAGTTTGTATTTGATCCTAAAGAAAACAAGGAACCACTAGAGTTGATTGACGAAGGGAGTAATATGGGTCAGACCTATCATTTAGGAGGATTGTTTGACAGCAGTGTGAAAAATGAATCAATGAGGGGAAAGATGAAGTAGATAGAGCAATTAGGAGGCTGTTGCAATCACACACCCAGGGTAGAGGTGATGAAGTCTTGACTTAAGATGGTGACCACAGGAGTAGAGAAGGGTAGAAATGTGAATGATATTGTAGAGGTATATTCAATAAGAGTTGACAATTGATTTGATGTGTTGGGGTGAGGGCAAGTGAGATTTAGAAGATGACTCCTGGGTTGCAAACCTTGGCAACTAGTAATAAGAAAGTCTGGGCAAAGGGTGGGTTTAGAAGAAAAAAATGAGTTCAGTATTCAGTACTGAACGTATTGGGTTAAAGATGCCTACAGGACATGCAGTAGAAAATATCTAATAGGCAGTTGGTAATGAAGATTTGGACCTCAGGAGAAAACACTGGGCTAGATATATAGATCTCAGAATCACCTGCAAAGAGATAATAATTAAACCTGTAAGAGACTAAGAGAGAATGTGGAAAGAGAAGAGGAGAAAGCCTGAACAGAAACAGAAGATACACCTAGATTTCAGTAGATGATGACGCAGCAATGATGACACAGAAGGAGCTTCAGGTAGGAAGAGACCTAAGCAGGAGCAGTGTCATGAAAACCAGAGAGGAGAGAGTATCCAGGAAAAGAGATGACTCAACAGTGTCAAATGCTGCTAAGATATCAAGAAAGACGAGGACAGAAAAAGGCAACAGAATGGGCAATTAAGAGAATATTGATAACTTTAGAGAGATCAGTTTCAGTTAAGTGGTGAAGTCAGAAGCTAAGGTGCAAAGAATTAAGTAACTAAAGAAACGGAAACAAGGAAAGTAGAAAGCTTTATCTAGGAGACCTGGGAAAAGGAGAGATTTAAGATGATGAGGTGATAAGATTTAAGATGACAAGATAAGAGTTAAATGAGGATTGACCCTATCATGTAAGTCAATTTAAGGCAACAACTAGGTGTCAAGCACAGAGCTTAGTGCTGGAGATACAAAGAAAGGTCAAACATGGTCCCTGCTCTCCAACGCTAATGGGAGAAGCAACATGGAAACTACTTTGTACAAAAAGATATTGTTATCGTTATTGTTGTACAGTCATTTTTCAGTTGTGTCCAACTCTTTGTGACGCCATTTTGGGTTTTCTTGGCAAAGATACTGGAGTGGTTTGCCATTTCCTTCTCTAGCTCATTTTTTACAGATGAGAAAACTGAGGCAAGCAGGGTGAAGTAACTTACCCATAAGTGTCTGAGGCCAGATTTGAACTCAGGAAGATGAGTCTTCCTGCCTCCAGGCCCAGTGCTCTATCCACTGAGCCACCTGCCTGTACACAAACAAGGTGTACAGAGGATAAATTGAGGGCAATCTTAGAGAAAAGGCATTAATATGAGGGGTAATCATGAAAGGCTACTTGTAGAAAATGAGATTTTGACTGGGCCCTGAAGGAAGTCAGGGTAGCCAGAGATGAGGAGGAACACTCCAGACATGGGAGATGGCCAGCAAAAATGCAGTTGGGAGATGGAGCATATTGCTAAAGAAACAGGAAGGAGGCCAGTATTATGGAATCACAGAGTGTATGGAGAGGAGGATGGTATAAGAAGACAGGAAAAGTATGAAGGAAGCAGGTTATGGAGGCTTTAAAGCCAAATATAAGACTTTATATTTGATACTGGAGGTGACAGGAGATACCAAAGTAGTGAATGGGGGGCCGGGGTTAGGCCTCGGGGTAACAGATAAGTAAGTCTTCCTGACTTCCTGTGCTTTAGGAAGACCAATTTGATAGTCAAGTGAAGTATGTCTTGAATGGGGAGGGACTTGAGGCAGGAAGGACCAACCATAAGGCTATAGAAATAGTCCAGGCTAGAGGTGATGAGGCTTTATACCAAGGTGGTAGCAGAGTCAGAAGACAGAAGGGAACATACAGAAGATGTTGTGAAGGTAAAATGAATAGGACTTGGTAACCATGATTGACTCCTTTCATTTCTTCTCGTGAACCTCTACTGAATTTGTTTTCTGAATTTCCCTCTAATCAAGATGTTAGGAGAAGGGCAAAATCATGCCTTGTTCCCAGGAATTATTGCTAGCTGGGCTATTCAACAGATTCATGTAG